TCTCTCTCTCTCTCTCTCTCTCTCTCACACACACACACACACACACACACACACACACACACACACACACACACAGAGGACATCTGCCAATTCTGCTCCTTCATAATCAATCATTCAGGGACCTGAAGGACTGAACTGAAGCAGCCCTGCTCTCCTCACTCAACACAGAGCTCCCTGGAGTCTGAATCTGTAACTTCCAAAGTGGCTCTGGCTGTGCCATTTCCAGCCAGCAATATGGGAAGAGCTGAGAAACCAGAGCAAGGGACTTCCTTTACAATGGGTAATGCAGAAATTTCCAACCTCACTTCCGTTCACATTTCACCAGTGAGAATTAAATCTCATGGCCATATCCAGCCACAGGGAAGCTGGGAAATGTAGTCACTGCCATAGATGTTGTTATTGAATTTCGCACAATTCTGTTCTTATTCCTAAGAAGCCATTCCATCGGTGATCACACACACTTATTTCATAAAATGTTTTGCGCTAAAGAATTAATATTTTGCTTAGAACAAATATACCCTTAATAATACATCTTTCTTTTGATGGCTCATCAAAAACAGGTTTTTTGTGTGCATTCCATAAGTTAATACATGTGAGAAATAGCTTTCATCCAAAAATGTAACAGATCTCCTATATTTCATAATTTGCTCAACCGTTTCTTAGAAAATTCTAACAAGATTTTCTAAATGTCTTTTATCCACATACAGTTTAATTGTTGCCATGTTATTTTCTCTATATTATTGCAGCAGAAGAAACAAATGCTCCCCAAATGGCTTGGCACTTTTTGTCTTTTACTAACAAATATGAAAAGATGTTTATCATTCAATAGCTTGCAGTATGTTTTGTGAAATTTAAGCGAGTAGCTGAATGTTACATGTTTTTCAATAAACTGCTGATAAAACTGTTAATTTTTATTCTCCTACTTAAGATTCTTAGTTTTTAAAGTCTTATAAATTCCAAGATAGTTTCATATTACCACCACCAGTATTTTAAGATACCAAATACATCTAGGGCAAGATTCGTGATTAATGATAATAGCCTTGCGGGTAATTTTGAAATTTGTTTAACTCGTCAGATATGATCATTGTTTTAACTCATCAAGTAGCTGAAGGAAAGTTTAAGCTAGCACACATGTCAAGCAATTCCATATTGTTGTGGCTTCTGCTCACACTATTGTTATTTCAACTCCTTTTTTTTTAATAGGAATCCTTTTAAGCCAGCACCTTGTGAGAGTCAGTTTAATCAAAACTAAATATAGTCCATAAACCGTATAACCAATGGATATAAATGGCAATATTTCCCAATGGGCTAAAAGCGAACAAAAGAATGAGAGCACAAGGGCCAACCCTTCTTATTGCGGAGCTCCATGCCTCCCTCCTCCTACCCATTCCTCCCAGACCCATTTCTGGTCAGTACACCAGAAATAAGGACTGTGTGTGCTGGTGGCAATCCATGTTATTATCAGTAAAGCTGATTTCTTAGTACCATTTTTTTAACTTAAAAACAATAAATAAAATCACATTTTCTTTGGGCATTCTAACATACCATCATCTAGTGTCACCCGGGGGTGCACATCATTACACACACACCCCACTGCGTATTTCAAAGACCACTGATCTCGTCTATATTACAGAGTTTAGATGTTATTTTGGCAACAGCTGAAAAGCTCAAAACAGAGAGCTAAATCCTAATTATTTATAAGCATTTGGAGTCCTAGCCTAGACATACTTATTGGTCAAGTGGAGGTGATGCCAGCTGTGGGTCGTAAGGTAAGCCCCTTAATTCCTTCATGTTTATATGAGAGATGAAGTAAGGGAAGCCAATGCTTCTGATTCTTAGGCCATTTCTTTTGTTTCTGTCTTTGATTCATCATCAGAGCCCAGCAATACTAAAAACTCAACTTGGGAGGGAGGTCCATCAGGATCTACTATGTATCTAATTTATTGCCCTAGCACTTTGCTTTTACTCCATACCTACCAAGTGAAATTTTAATGAAAATAGGACTTTCTTAAACTCAACTAACTAATGAGAGGGAAGAAGGAGGGGAGAAGAAGGGAGGAAGGGAGAAGTGGAAGGAGAGAAGGAGAAGGAGTGTAGTTAGAAAGGTGGAGTGCCCCTTTCAGTCTGGAACCAAAAAAAAAGTTCATAGAAACTGCACCTCTGTCCAGCTGATGCTGAGTACATTAAAGTCATTATATTAAAAGATGTTCAAAACTAGTTAAGAAAGAAGCATTCTTGACAGGTAACTAAGGGAAGTCAGGCACACACTCATAAAACCTGTTTGGCCTCACAAATCACCCCTTGGTCTAGGGAAACCGAATGTCTCATTCCATGCCACAAGTTTTACACTGCAATGCAGAGTTAAAGCCCATCCATTGGATTCCGGAGAACACCTGGTATAAAAGGAAAACACGGCTCACTCCTGAGTTCCCTCCAGAGAAAAAGGCTTATTTTAACACTGTGGATGCCTTGGAACTGGCAAGTCATCCAGAATGAAGGAGCTGTAGGAACATACACCCTGGGTGTGCTCACAGGCTATGTGAATCCATCCAAGGGTTCTGAGCACTTCTCTGCACCAGCACTCCACTCTCCCATCTACCAGCTGCTGCTTTGGCTTCCTTAGTTCTGATTCCCTCCAAGTGTCAGCTTACACTCGATCCACTGGCCACTCTAGCCACTGCCTCATCAGCATGACCTTTTAAAGAAGTTCTAATTGGTAACTAGAAAATTATTGTTTGTTCATTCACTCATTCAAACATTTACTGAGGACCTAATTTGTGCAAAACACTGTCCTGGAGGTAGAAATGCCCAGTTAAAAAAAAAATCAGACTTTTGCTCCATAGATCTTATATTCTAAGGTACTAAAGGGTGACAGACAAAATACAAAGTATTTCACAGAAACAAAACAACAAATATTCATTAAAAATGAGCAAATAATTGAACAGATATTTCTCAAAGGTGATATACAAATGGCCAATAAGCACATGAAAATATGCTCAACATTACTAGTCATCAGAGCAATGCAAATCAAAAGCACAATGAGATACCACCTCACACCTATCAGTATAGCTACCATAAAAAAATTAGAAATTAAGAAAAAGAAAAGAATAGTGTTGGTGAGGATGTGGAGAAATTGAAACATTTATGTACTGTCAGTGGGAATGTAAAATGGACAGCAGCTGTAGAAAATAGTATGGCAGTTCCTCAAAGAGTGAAATATAAAATTGCCATATGATCCAGCAATTCCACTTCTGGATATAGTATAGCCCAAAGAATTGAAGGGTTTCAAAGAGATATTTGTACACCCATCTTCATAGAAACATTATTCGCAATTGCCAAAAGGTGGAAGCAACCCAAGTGTCCATCTAAACAAAATGTGGTGTATACATACAATGGGATATTCAGCCTTAAAAAGGAAAGCAATTCTGACACATGCTACAATATGGGTGAACCTTGAGGAAATTACGCAAAGTGAAAAAAGGCAGTCACAAAAGGACAAATACTGTATGATTCCACTTATATGAGGTCCATACAGTAGTCAAATTCATAGAGACAGGGAGCAAAATGGTGGTTACCAAGGATTTAGGGGTAGGAATTTAGGGGTACAGAGTTTTAGTTTTGTAAGATGAAAAGATTTCCAGAGATGGGTGGTGGTGATGGTTGTACAGTACTATGAACATATTTAATGCCACTGAAATGTACACTTAAAAATAATTAAGAAGATAAATCTTATGTTACTCTCTTATAATCTGTATATAATATATAATTATTATATATTATATGTACTACTTATAATATATTGTATAATACATAATATATGTAATGATGATAACAATATAATATATATTATAATTATTACATATATAACTATATCAATAATAATATATATTATTTCCAGTGATGAAAAGTTCTATAGAGGAAAAATAAAGGCAAGTGAGAAGGGAGGGCTGGGGAAAGGAACCCTTGGATAGAGAGAGGTTTCCTCACTACCCCAGAGCACTGAGAATTAGAGTCTAGGAGATGACCTGAAAGTTCTGGGCTTCCTGCTGGCTGTGACACAAAAGGGTAAGAGGCACATTGAGATAAATCCTGAAGCTCTTAAGCCAGAGGTGGGGGTGCATCTTGCCAATGGTGCCTTTGGGGGGGGGGGTTACACAGACTCTCCCCCTGATGCCTGCCTTTGGAGTTCTGAAGAGGTCCAGTGCCTTGGCCTTCACAGTACGATCCAAGGCTTCACCAATTTGCAAGTATAGAAATCTCTGCACTAGATCTCCTCCACTTAAAATGGTAACTAACCCTGTCACTTGCTCCTAGCAGTGCCATTAAATATACTGACTGGGAGTGTGGCTGTGGGTGCCTGCCAGTAACAAACCCTTGTTAAAAGTCCTGACAAATGACTCTCATTGTTCAACTCATATCTTCATAACAAACCACTTCCCAGGTTACTGGTTATCCTCAAATCAGTTCCCACCTCTGGTATTGTCAGTGGCTTTAGATCAGTATGTGCTTAACATGCTCAGAGAACCATGCCATCCAATTCTCTATGAGCTCGTGGCATTAGGATGTCAGGGAATTAAGAGCATGTGTATCCTATTACTATATAAATCTGAACAACTCCTGACACTTGAATATGACTTTTATTTTCAAGTTTGTACTAGAAACAAAATCCTATAAGTCTCCTTAGTAACCAACACTAGAGTTAACCATCACCACTAATGTAAATCACAGTAGGAAGTCAATCCAGATTAAAACTATCCTAATTTAATTGTACAATTCTAGGTGAGTAAAATAAAATATTGTCATGCATCAACGTTCCAAGCTTACTATTTTGATAATTAAACATATGACTTTATGACATTCGCTCATAAATAAAAACAGAAACCCACAGAGTAGTCTTACAGCTGTTTAGTAACAAAATAAACCTGATTGTCAGTCATTGTAGAAAAAAAGAAAGCGTTTAACATGATTATATCAAATGCAACTTTAAAAAAACTACTTACATCCAAGGAATCCTCCTTCAATAGGATGAGGGCCATGTTCTGTGACACCAACCGACAGGAATATCCTAAGAAAAGGGACAACACACATGAACTTATCATTCCTTCCATGAACTTACCATTTTTCAATGGTTGTTTGAATTCAGCCTCCCTTCTTGTATCTTCCTTATTACCACGTTCAAGCTACTGGTTCACACAGAAGAACTGGGCAATAGTGAGCAGTAGGAAAACTAAGTTTAAATTAATTTTGATTCTTGTGGACAGCTTGAATAGAACTGGTTGGGAAGGTCTTCATAACTAATGGCTGAAATAAATACTTGTCAATTTTCTGTGGATTTTTCTTTATCCTTGTTATCCTTGTATAACTTTGGGATAAGCCTCGGGTTACCTAAACTAACAGCAAACACTTTAGGAAGACAAATTAAATGTAACGGAGCTCCTAAATCAACATAACTGGGCCTGTCATCATACCAAGATCCCTCATTTGCTTTTTTAAAAAGTAGGTGATTCTCAACAATGTTTTCAATGGAAAAAGATTTCAAAGGAATTCTTTTCTACATCTAGGGAGCCACTTTTACTACCAATCTCTATTTCAAGAATTCAACCTGAGTTTCAAAAAAAGTTTGTTTTGGAACAAAAGTCTTCTGTTCTTAGTGTTCTAAGAATACTAATTCTTATCAACAATTTCCATCACCTTTTTAAATAAAATTATCTCTATCGGTGATGCAAGATAGTCTTTCCTCCCTTTCCTCCCAGAAAGTGGCCATATTTTCTATGAAGCCCTTTCCTATTCAGGCTTTGCAATCCACTCTAAGGCAGCTGGAGACACTTGACCAAGATGGGAGCCTCTCCGGGTTCCTCCCCTTCAAATCCGCCTGCTCTGCGGGAGAGGTGGCTCAAGAAAACCCCAAGACCAGGGTGTCTATCGGACCGCTAATCTTTCTTTAAAATTACCCTCTTTGAGAGAGCTGGCATCAGCATGTGCCATTTACCAGCCTTCGTTTCAATCTATCTCCTTGAGAAAAGACAAGAAAAAATTCCTCCCACCGAGAAAATTAGCCCTCACAACCAGCTGTTTCTCAGCACCTTAAGATCATGGGTCACTGATTACAGAAACATGAAACAAGTCATCAGCACACAAAATTTCAACCTTAGAGCAAGTACATATGTGACAGCCTCAAATAAAGGAAAGGCCTTACCCAGTGCTGCTCCTACAGCAAGGAGGGGCCTGAAATATCCACCCCACAGATGCTACATTTAACTAGAGAAGAGGCAGGCATTGAACTAATGGACAAGCCACAGAGCTGTTGCATTCATGTGCTCAGCTCTCCTCAACAGGTCCTTTTCATCTTGAGGAAACTCTATTACAAGGCACACAATAGAATTCAAGGTTGGGGGAGGAGCAACAAGTATTTTTTTTGTTTATTTTGTAATGTACAAAGTATGTCCTTCTCTGATTTTCATTTGAGAAGAATATTTTGCAAATCACCTCAGAACACAAATTTTCAAGCACAAAATTATGGCTTTGAATCCAAATGTTATTTTTTTAAAGCAATACCATAAAGATATTGCCCAGGCTATTAACAACAGTTATCTCTAGGGAATGAGGTTATTTTGCTTGTTAAAACCACCACATATTATTTTTTAAATGAAAACAAATTGAATAATTTAAAATCACAACCCCATATGGGCAAATATCTGTGAAACCTCTAAAACAAAACCAAAAGAGAAGGGAGGAAACATGAAACAGCTCTCTGTGCATTTTCAAACTTGCTCAAGCCTGTACTTTAACAATAGTGATGAGTAAAAATGAGAATTTCCCAGAATGCCATTAAAATTTCTGCATGGTAGGACTAAAATAATTGAACTCTTTGTCTCCCATTAAAATTTTATAAATGTATTCCTCCTTCCTATAAATTCTTAGATTAGATCCAGAAGGGAGGCCTATATTTTATTTTCATTCACAAAAGGGGATATTGCAACTTTAATCACTTCCCCCTATGTTAGGCTTATTCTTTCTTTATCCCCCAGGGACTTCCAGAAACTTCATGCCATATAGACTGTTACAAATTTAGTATAACTGATGCAAAAGGATTTGCTGGTCTTTTTTGATTTAAACAACAGCTGCAGAAGCAAGTTGTAATTTTTAAGCCCTAGCTTGCTGCTTCATTTTATATTTTTCAATTTAGGCAAAATGCCACTTGACAACTGAAGCTGCAAAAAGATATGGAAAAACTCTTAAGTATTTTTCTAGCCATTGCAGGGAGCGGGCAATAAATAAAACCACTGACACTTAACATGAATTTAAACATACAAAACTAAAGATTTCTGAGAAGAAACAGGTTGGGCTTTTTTTTTCCTTTTTCTTTTAATTTGGAAAATAAAGCAAGAATTTGCTTAGAGAATTACCACACAGACACTTGCACTAGACAGACCATGGAAGTTTAACACAGTTAATTGTGACTTATCTAATGTGGCAAATCAAATTATGTCAATTCAAGTTTAGTGTGCTTGATTTCTAATGTTTTTGGATAAAATGAGATCAACTCTTGGAGAAGAGCCAGGTATGAAATGTCAACCCACACTTGTAAAGTGACATCTAGTTCTTTAATCTCGCAGTCTAACAAGACGGCCATAAAATGACTGAGCCAAGAGCCTCTGGGATTTCACTTTTTACTACAGCCGAAATTAATGACACATTACAAAGGTGTTCAGTCTTTCAACTACCTGAGTATAATCAACATCCAAAGAAATCAAAATAGTATGGAGTCTATGGTACTTAGAGCGGGATTTGATTTTAAGACAATACAATAACAATTCACACTAGAAAATATTACCAAACCAAATCTCTCAGATCTTGGAGTCAGGGTCTCTTTTTCTGAGGTAAGCTCATATTTTTTTTGTCAAAGGTATCCACTTTTCTTTGGCAACTTTTTTTGGAAGAGTTAGGAACAATTTAACCTTCCTAACCATATATCCCAGGATCAGATTAATCAAGCTACCCATTGTTGGGATTCCACATGCTTCCAAACCCTCAGGAAGTGTGTTGCTAGTTCTCAGTAGTTTCACAGAGAAACTGGCCAATCAGTAATTGAGTGTGAGTGTATGACGCATGCTGCCAGACATCAGGAATAGATGATGAAAGATGGTACCCTTACTCTACTCCAAAGGGAGTTAAAGAGGCTCAGCACAGTCTCCTTCATCATCTGGAGAACCCGGAAGCTGAGGACTCACCCACAGAACCACATCTGGGCACCTTTCCCTCCAGATACTTGGACCCTTCTCGGGAATGCTCCATCCCATGTAAGAACACACGCAGCCTTATCTCATAATTTTCGCCCCAAACTGGGCTATTCTGACTTATTCTGTGCTCAGTCTCTTCTCTCTCTCTCTTTTTCCTAAACAAACAAATTCTTGAAGGCTCAAGTTTTAAAGCCTATCTCATCTGTGAAATCTTCCCCAGTCTCTTTTGGGTCAGATATTTTTCCTTCTAGGAAGTGAATATCCAGTATGGCGGTCACTTGCTCAGATTTTCAGCACTCTCACACCGATGTGATCTATGCTAAACTGCTTGATATCTCTGTGCCTCGGTTCTATCTTTGAAAAGGGGATAATGCCTATCTCAAAGGGAATTAAAAACAAAAATTACGTAGAAGACTTAGCACAGTATTTGGCACATTAGAGCTAACATTTACTGAGTATTATTAACGCCAGTCATGCTTAATATCTGTATTGCACAATTAGCATCTTCTCATCTACTTCACTCTCTAATTTGTCTCATAATTAACTCATCCCCCTATTAGGGAATATAAGTTCCCTCAGCCCATAACAGAGCATCAGGCAACAATGCTAGCTTCAGGTAATCAAAGAAATAACACATCTGATTTTTCTGGGAAAAACAACACTAAGATTTGAATGCTACAACAAATGCCCCAGCTTCACCTGGGAATGGGGACTTGTCTTCCTTTTGATGGTTAAGGAAGTCTACAGACAATAACAGAATGGGCAAACACCATATTTACTCACTTTAAAAAAATTAAACTTCTAAGACTATTGAAGTGCTTTAAAAGTATCACAGGATGGGAAGCAAAATGCAGGGGGAAAGGAGACCGAATTCCAACTGAGACATGGGTCACAATGAAAGCTATTTCCATCTTAATGACTTTACAATAGAATACACTCTAGGATTTTGTTCTCAATGATCCTATATCCATTAGAAACAAATTATAGATTCTGAAAACTTCACATCTATTGTCTGACTATTTAATAGAGGTTTTATCCAGTGATAATGAGGAAATGGCGACTCCACGATTCACAAAGGCCTGCATCTGAGATTTCACTTTAGACTGGCTGATGCCAAATTTTTAAGCTAAAAAAGAAAATTGCCAACTCTGTGAAATGCAGCTAGTTAGCATAAGTGCAAGCACAGCACAGCAGGAGCCTGGCATCACGCCAGCTCTACACTACCTAAAACCCACAGGCAAGATGACTGTCTGTCCACATAATACTCACTGACTCATAAGAGACACAAATATCCCGGACCTTAATTTGACGAAGTATATTTATTTTCAAGGCATGAACTAAAAGTTACACTTAAAAAATAAATTCTCAAACTAGGATTGAGCAATAGATCAAATGCTAAAGAGAGCCAACAACCCAAATACACCATATGTCTGTCACCTCGAAAGGTGAACTCTTACAACCTGTACCACTGAGGACGTATTGCCAATTAAAATTGGAAGAGTCGACAATCATAAGACATCCCCATTTCAGAGACATTAAAAAATAAAAACAATGTGCACCTCAGAATGGATGAAATATAGTACACCTCTCCCCCTTGGTCTGCTAACTCAGATTTCAGGGGATGGATTTTGCAAAAGCTACGTGGATCTGTTTAAAATGAGCCCTGCTCCAGAAGTCAAGAGCCCTGAGACCTAGGACTAGGTTGGCTATTAAGTAGAGCACAACCTTAGGAATCCCTGCATTTCCCCCTTGAGCTAATACTGTTTGCATGTAAAGACTAAAGACAGTGTCCAGAACACACTCCCAGCACAGAGCCTGGCGCTCAGCAGAAACTCTATTAACTTGTTCTCTTTAGAACTCCTAGGCACTGGATGTTTTCCCGAATACCTTCCGGGTACCCTAAAACACACCTAGAATGCACTGAAAGGTACTGACTATCAGTAAGTATGATGGGAGACAGATCAATAACAGTCCTTATTACTGAGGTTATGAGGATTATATACCGAGAACACGGGCTCACAATCCAGACTGCATCTGGAACATGACCTCGTGCGGCTTCTAGCTGTCGCCTGGCGTTTGACACGAACAAGCCCAATGAAATGTCTGGATGGCAACACCTTCTGTATCACCCATAGGCTCAACAGATATCCTAAGTCAGAAGATGACATTTAATCCCTCAATATTATCCAAGGTTACAAACTTGGGGTCTGAATGCCAAATGGAAAAGTAATTCAGACGTAGCTTTTTCAGAATGTCAGTTCCCTAGCTGTTGAAAACATACTTAGTAACACTACAGAGATGTTTGAATTCTACTGACATGCTAGCACAAATGTAAGCAGACGCAAGCTCCAGGATAAATATAAGACTTTGGCTTATAAGTAGGAAGCATCTCCTAGTGGACTTGAGGGGCATTCGCTGAAAAAGCTCAATTTTAACCTATCTAATGGATGTGAGCGCTTGTAGAACCAAAACTACAAATGTTGCTATGCCTTCTTTGAAAAAAATGCACAAAATAATATAACTATTATTTGTAAAAACTGGATAGGTATCAATTATCTCATAAGGCTCGGAGACACCTCACTGTGTGCAAACAAAACTTTCCTTTAGGAATAAGACCTCATTTGTGTTTTCTAGGTTGATTTTCAGCCCTTTGCATTTACTTGTGTTTCTTCCAAACTTGGTTAGACACTGATAAGCTCAGCTGTGACACAAGGAACAAGCAGGAAAAGGGACAGGCGTGCTCCCAGGGTCAGGGTGATCTGGCTAAGGCAGTGACAGATGGCAACACCCTTTCCAACAAGCACACCATCAATGCACACATGCTCGCTTTTCACGGCAAACACGAGAAAGCACTCGTGGAAGTTAAGTCTGGGGCTAGGGACACTGAAAGGTCATTAGTCCAGCAGGAACACTCAAGAGCTACAAAATTAGGAAAGCTTATCACTATAGATCAATTTTAACTTGCTTTCATATTGCTCTAGGACAGCAGAAAATATACTGCTAAAGTTGAAGTATTTCAAGGCAGCAGCCAATGTTAGAAACCCTGTATGAACAAGAGGAGCCATAGGCCAATAGCAGGTGTTTCGGGCCAAATTTATATGAGAAATGATACTTGAAGGGCCGATGTCAATACATAGAATGAGAGAGAGAGACATGATACCAAAAGCAAATGTATTATCCTTCATTTATAAAAATGTTGCCAACATCACCAAAGGGCTGTAAGTTACAGGTTTTTATTTTTTAGTAGCAGGGATGGGTCTGCACAGAAACTTCACCACACTGATCTCCAAAAACATGTATTTGAGAGACAACTAACCTCAATCAATGGACAAAGTCTATAACTGATGCTTCATCAATCACGTGTCACTCTCTTGTGACTTTAGATTCTGTTGGTTGGGAGCCCAAATTGCACTTGATTAGTTATAGCCTTGATAAATGCTTAAATGGATTTTATTTAAAAAAATAAAAAGACATTCACCCCAGATGGTAGGTATTGACTATAATTGAGGTTACGTAAAAGACAGAAGGTTTCAGGGAAGGGACGCCACTGTATTCAGTTGATAATATTCTAGGGAGTCCACTCTGAATAGGACAACAGTCACTTAAATTCAGACGTCTTAGTATGCTTCTTTCTGAAGTGAGCTATGACCAAGAGTCTATTTCCATAAATACATTGTTAAGTCATGTAGTTCTCATGTATTCATTTTATCACATATGCATCAGGCCTTGTTACATCACAATGGTGACAGAAGTACCAGATAATCTGAAAATAATTCAAACAATCAAAATGATGTATATTTTTTAATTACTAGTTTCGACTACTTTTCAAAGTTATAATGTACATCTTTAACAAAAATGAAGTTTTTCGGACTTAAAGTCCCTTCCTTCGATTTTCATTTCTTTGATGCTTAGCAAGCAGAGAGGCTGCCAACCCAAATGGGGAAGGGAAAATATAAGACTCTTGGAAAAACATATCGATTGGTAAAATCATGAAAACGGTTATAGTTATATAAAGTAATTAATATATATTTAAATTTAGTGAAAACATGCTCTTAGTCTCTTAGACTAAAATTTTATGAAGAAAGTATTAAGAAAATCAAAGTTGTCAACTCTTGAATTCTATATCCCATACATAAGGGCATTTAATACTTTTCAGGAAGATGTAGCAATTTAATGTTTATAGTGAGCAGATAATGCTCATAAGAGCATCCTCATTTGATTTCAGTACAATTTTCTTGGCTTTGGAATGAAGAGTTCTATAAAATACAATCTTCAATGCATGTGAGTGACCCTTAGGCACTTCTACAGGATACTTTAAAAAAAATACAAAAACTAGCATCAGGGAATTATTTTAAAATGAATTACCTATATTAATTGCAGTTTCTTGTTTATCTCCGGTCAACACCCATATTTTAATTTCTGCCTTCAACAGCGTTGCTATGGTTTCTGGAACACCGGCTTGAAGGCGGTCTTCTATGGCTGTGGCTCCAAGTAACAGTAAATTCTAGATTGAAAAATATCTTCAGTTAACGATCGGTACATGCTTAAGAGCAGCCTTTATGACAAAGCTCTGACAAAAGCAAGGCAGTCAAAATGTTCTGAGACAATTATCTTACTTCCTCTACATGAAACCTTTGTTTGCAGATAATTAATGATATCTAGATGTGTGGCACTTTAAAACTATTCGCAATGTTAGAACCTCTCCATACACATAGGCAACCCAGTACTCCTCCTCATTTATTTCTGGGTACATGGGCATGTTGGAATAGAAATCACCTGGCAATAGAGCACGTGGGCAAGTTATCCTGAGGAAAATTAACAGTACACAAGCCCTCCCTTTCCACTCCACAGATGAGTAAAGCATTATGTTAGGGTTAACACACAAGAAAAACGAATTTGGTGATGAGAAACTGACCTCATCGGAAACCGACTGAACGGATGAGAAAAGCCAGCACCCTCCCGAGCATCCATCACACACATGCTTCGGACGGCACATGCATATTATCTGTGTAATCACTTTTTTTTTCCTAATTCCAAAAGTAATTTGGATATATCTAGTAAAGTAGGGCAAATGTACACTTGAATTCAGTTCTACTCCTACCCAAATTCCATTAAAACAGCAAACAAGTGAATATAAACTTGAATATAAAACTCAAAAACTGAGTATTAAAAAAAGGGGGGTGGGGGTGGGGGGGCTCAGTTGGTTAGAGTGCGAGCTCTAAGCAACAGGGTTGCCAGTTCGATTCCCACATGGGCCAGTGAGCTGCACCCTCTGCATCTAGATTGAAGACAATGGCTGCCACTGAGTTGCCGGTGGGCGGCCAGATGGCTTAGTTGGTTAGAGTGTGTGCTCTTAACAACACGGTTGCTAGTTCAACTCCCACATGGGATGGTGGGCTGTTCTCCCCCCAACCCCCCACAACTATTAGATTGAAAATGGTGACTGGACTTGGAGTTGAGCTGTGCCTGCCACAACTAAGATTGAAGGACAACAACTTGACTTGGAGCTGATGGGTCCTGGGAAAAACACACTGTTCCCCAATAGTTAAAAAAAAAAAAAAGCAGAAAGCAGAAAGCCAAGGGGAAACACACACACACACACACACACACACACACACACACACACACGAATGTAAAAAGCAATCAAGTGATGACTTCACAGTTATAAGAAACGGAAAACTGGGTGGACCAATGGTTACTGATATGAATCAGAAAAAGTTGAAATCCAGGTCCCAGATTTGAGGTGTTAAAATAAGACACAACAGGCCAAAATCGAGTCACTTTTGCTAAGCCACATCACCAAACCAAAACTTAATACCCAACTTAATTGTAGTTTTAGCCTCTCACAGTTGTAGAATGTTAAACCAATCAGTCTGGAATTTCCAGATCAATACTAGTGAGGTAATCTGCCTGATAAGTTCCCTACCATTCCTTCCTCACAAAAGATGACCTGGCCCAAAAATAATCCTTTCTTTTCTTTTGTTAATAACTCCTGTCACACCCTTCTGCCTATAAAATCCTCCATTTTGTACAACGCCTCAGAGCTCTAGTCCCTAGATGGGAGGCTGCCCCACTCATGAATCACTTAGTAAAGCCAATGAGATTTTCAATTTACTTGGTTGAATTTTGTTCTTTAACAGAGGGAATCCAATATATAGAAAGCAACCTAATGTCTTGGGATAAACTGAAAAAAACAAAAACAAAAATCAAAGTTGGCAATATGGAGTACCAATGGCAAAGCTTAAAAATTATTAGACTAACCAACTGTGAAAATTCTTAATATGTATGATGTCCAACCAGCCTATGAATTCTGACTGCTCATGTAACAACTGGATGAGCTAATCTTGTTAAGTCTAATCTTCGGCAAACCTGGAAAGTCACTGATGCTGCTTTTGACCTGAAACTTGTAAGACATCATTAATGCTTAGCTAGGGGTGGCTAGACCTCAGATAGCCCATGAAATTTGAGGGTTTCTTATAGCAAAGCAAGACATGATTAAAAGCTAATTGTTAGGATACTTATAAGAAAAGAGAACATCACTCTATAGCAAAAGTATTCCTGTTCAAAGACCATTGGATGGGAGGTTAAGCCCCTCCTGGACAGTAGGGACTTCATCACATGCAGTCACCTTCTCGATGATCTCGTAACACTCCTCCAGCCGTTGAGCTCTGTCTTTCAATATGGTGCTGGCTTCCTGATAGACTTTGAGCCACTCCTCATAATCCCTCTCAGAGAGGTCGGCGTAAGCCACACAGAGAGTCCTCAAGCCTGCAAAACAGCCAGTGCATCCCAGTGATGCCACAAGTGCTGGGGGAGGCAGAGTACCCTGTTCCCCAGGTAACATCATGTGGCTCTGTGTTATACCGGCAGGCTCAAAGAATTTAGAGAAACCAGCTGCTTTTTAGGTCCCTCTAATTCAACTTTTAAAAAGAGAACTTAAAAAGGATTCTACTGTACTTTAATATGAACAACCTCTTCTATAAATGTGGGAGTACATGAGAAGCCATGAGAGTAAACTCCCAGCAGAGACATACGGGAGCTGTGCGTGAAGCATATGTATACATATGGGTATCAGCAGGGGTGGGGGCAGGAAGTAGGTTTTGAAACAGCAGTAAAAACCAAACGTGCTACCACGTGAAAGATGAAGACTTTCAAGCATCCGTTTCTGTGTGTGTGTGTGTGTGTGTGTGTCTGTCTGTCTGTGTGCACACACAGACATGTATGTGCATGCATGTAGTCACAGAAACACACGAGGAGAAAGCAGCAGTCAGCACTTAAGCAAGGCTGCAACTTTCACCACATCCACTTGCAGGAAAGCCTGACATCAGTGTTGTTTAAAGCCTTCCAGGGGACTCCTTTCCTGTTCTTCTATGAGTTCAATGAATTATTTCCTGAAGTCATTAGCTTCCTCTGTGCCACTCACACTGGGTGAGCCAGTGTCATAAGGATAACGAGGGAGAGAGACAGGAACATAACACGAGTTTTCCAAGAAAGGGAACCACAACTACAAGCTGAATCTAATACGGCGAGCGGGTCTGCCTTTTCCCTCTATTAACAGAGTCCTATGTAAGGAACTGACTGCGGACTTGGCCCCCATCATGTCACTGCCCATGGGCACAGAATGTGAAGAACAGGGACAGGGGTTGGCACGAGAAAAGTATAAGCACAAACATGACACATCTATTCGGGAAATGACTGCTCACCCAAGCACCAGTCACAGACCCTTGAAACTACAACTTCAATGGTTAAAAATAACATTTCCAAATTTCTCTTACCTTCCGTGGCAAAATATTCCAGATGGCATAATGTTTCCTCCATATACTTTGAATCTTTTGAAAGTCTCTCAAAAATGACATTATCCTATAAAATAGGGAAACACTGTGACTGGCAAACTCTTAAGTAAACCTTCCGGTCAGCATTCTAAACACAGCTTTGTTTTAATGGTGTTTATTTTATGTGCATGAGAATAGTTGAGTGGGCAAGTCGAAATGTAGCTCTTGGCTGGATTCAGTCATGAGCTTTGGAAAACACATCAGGTACGGACGTGTCAAAATAAAAACATGTTGGGGAGAACCATAGGTGTCAAGAGAATAATCAGGAAAGCTAACAGTGCTATATTCACCCAGATTTGCAAAACTCAGGCCAAAGTTTATGATAGCTTTTTGCAGAAGTGGGAAGGGTAAAACACACATCCTCAGTTGCTCAAGTACAGTCTTGCGTCCTGATGCTGCAAAAGCTCCTGAGCAGGGAGGGCACAATCCACGGGGCACTGAACCCAGTTCAGCTGAGAAATACGCAGGTGTGACAGGGTTCATCACCCTGTGATTGACAGGCAGGCGGGAGCAGGGGGGCTGGAAGCCACAGACGAGCCTCCAAATATGTTATAATGGGTACAGTTTTAGGACACTAAATTTTTTTTAACAAGATCTACTTTGGTTTTTGGGGGGTACGGGCTGAAGAGAATTAAATCCTGTAATAAAATCCACCATTGAAGCATTTCCATATTTCCACAGCCTTCCTCTATGCCACCCACATGGACCCCTTTTGTACTTGCTGTGGTACTTAGAACACAATGGCAAATAAACAGATAAAAAGTTTAAAAAGCACATCATGTGATAACATAATCTAAGTGACCTTGATTTCAGCTGTCACTATAACTGTAGACTTCTTTAATAGGTCCAGATAGAATGTCTTTAGAATTCACATGCATTACTCATTTTTAAAAAGCTCTAATCACAGTGTACTCAGTGAAGACCATGCTTCTTCCCACAATTGCTCAAGATTAGTAAGATTTTCAATCAATCACTGATCCTAGCATAGCTTCATTTTCTTGACACAGTCTCATAAAACGAGCTTAATAATTCTTTCCCTCAACATGTAAGACCATAATTTAATTTGCAAGTCAGGCTTATAAGCAATAACATCTTTGCTTCAAGATTATACATTTAGATTTGATTACTGGAGGCAGACAAGACAAAAAGCCTGACCTGGGAAACTGATCAAAGAGGGCAGTAAAAATGTGGCCACAAATGGACACAATCGTCATACCTACTGCATAGCCCTCCGTGATAAGTAAAAATATAAATCATAAAAATTGAGAAGAATACCTGCTTTAAGTACTCCAAGAGATATAGATAGATAGATAGATAGATAGATAGATAGATCTATGTATCTATATCTCAGAGTACTTAAAAGATTATCATAGGTCAATACAAATTACTTTATCTTCCCAAAGTCACCACATAAGGATGGTAAAACTAGAATCAGAATTCATACTCCAGGATTTTCCATGACACAGCAAGTTACCATTACTGAAAGCAATTGTTGACTAAAAGCAAGCTTTCCACTGGCCATCTTTGTCACTTTGGCTTGGACCACCATCATCTTCAGTGTGCTCTTACTACTAAGGTAACTTGATGGCCCACTTGAAAGAGCCCTGCCACCTTGGGCAAACTACCAGGGAGTTACAAGGGCGACAGTTAGGAAAAGCAGCAGATGAACAAAGCTACACACGACACCCAGCCAGTACTTACAGCCCCTTTACAATAGAGCCGGAGTTGTCCTGAAGGCGTTCGAACAATTACAGACATTCTTTTTCTGTCACTGTAAGAGCAAAAAAAAAGAAGAAAAGAAAGGTTGTCATTGTCTGTTTTACAGGATCCATGTCCTATGATTAAATACCAAACAAATCAAAAGATAGTCTTGCGGTCCCAAAAATGACCAAGCTCCATTTTTCCCTACCTTTTTCCTCAAAATTGGACCTCAGTGGTCTATCTCCCACTCCTTTTATTCACATATAATAGACATAAATCTATTCCTTTCCTTGTCATAGAAACTCTTATAGCTATTTATATTAGGAGAGACAGAAATGAAGAATCTGGGCACCTAACTCACTACTGATAAGACTCTGTAAAAGTACTGTTCTTTATAAAAAAAAAAAAAGTATTGTTCTACGTCCCTGAGACCAGGGGACCTTATCTGTCTGGCTGTGTGTAAATTCCCGCATCCTAATCCACACCACTCTCTCTGACCTGGATTTGAATTCTCTCTCAGCTACCTTGTAGCCAGGGACACTCAGCAAAGTTATTCACCCCACATTTCAGTTTCTGTGTAAAGTAGATTTGACACCAGCTGCTTCAAAGAAGTGATTAACTGGCATCTGGAAAAAGATGAGTCAACTAAAATGAAATAGAATCACAGTGATAACCACAGATGATTTTTTGTTCTCTCTTATTCTCTCTTAAGTTTTCTTTTTTAACATCTTCATGTCTCCATCCATATTCACCTGTTTTTATCTAACTCCCTTTTCTCCCCCTTAACCCTCCAATAACTGCTGGTCCCAGTTAATGCAGACACACAGCAGCACACAGTTTCCAGGACATCAAATGATGGGGCACCAAATGTCTGGAGGGATGTTTAGTATGTCCCTCAGCTCCACACACAGGGACCCTATCCCCTGCTCCCTACATGAACTACTATTGTTATAAACCTTCTCTTTCCTCCATTGAATTCTCAACCCCAAGGGCTCCTGACGCACCAAAGTTCAAGGCTGTGGTCCTAAAACTAAAAACTAAGGCTGGAAAGCATTCCCTACAAGAGGGTAAAAAAAATAATAATCCTTTTCAAATAGCTTATAAAGCAGACAGAGCAAACAACTTGTGAATCATTTAGCAAAGGTTTTTGAAAAACCCAATTAATTTTAATAATAGGAAAAGATGTTTTCGAGATAGCAACAGAACCTTGCTCTAGAATGGACAGTTCAATGTTAAGGAGGAGGAAAAAAACAAAACATTGAGTTTTTTTTTTAATGACAAACTATGAGTGGTCTAGGGAAACAAATAATCCAACAATTATTCCCAGGTCTTAAATTAAATAAACTTCACTGGGGAAGACTGAATCCAAATATGCGCAGGAGAACTGCCTTATGGGAGCAGGCCTGTAATGGATGCATTGATCTTATCTATACTCATTTGTCAGTTTCCCAGGCCCAGTGTGGGAGGGCTCAGATGGACCTGGGAAAAGCCAATGGACACAGTGCTCTCATCACATACTCCAAGCTATGCAGACATGTCTGTGGCTCCTGATACAAGAACACCAGTTTCTGGAAATCTAAAGAAAAAGAAGGCTATGGAAGCATAACATTTCATCTGGGAAAAAGAAAATGTACCTACTTTGCTCTTTTTAATGAAAGTCAAAAATGCCAGGAAGAAGAATATATTTACTATATGTAATACTTAAGTGCTATATTTAATTATACCATCATGCAAGCGCTCTGATGAAGTTGTTAAATATATGTATATTTTTTGTTATATATATATATTTGTTATATATAATGTTATATATAGTTGTTAAATACATATATATGTTAAATACATATGTGTATATTTTTTAAAGGTTTTAAAAAAATTTTTAAAGTGCATGAAAAAGAAACATACCTAGAAAATTCTAGGACATTAAGGATTCCAAATGTCTGTTCCTGTCCCATCTAAAGAAAGAAAAAACATAATACAATCAATAATGTTGTAAGCATTTC